AGAGACAAACACACACATACGCACAGAGAGACAAACACACACATATGCACAGAGACAAACACGCACAGAGAGACAGACACACACACACACGCACGCACGCACGCACACACACAGAGAGACAAACACACACACACACACAGACAAACACACAAACAATGACACGTGTTTGGATGATTAATCTGAGCGCCCACAGCTGCTGTTTTCTCTTAAGGGCAAAGAGATCCATCAAATTAATGTAACGTGAGAGGGAGGGCATATGCTAATTAACCTACATTACCTGACCAATGCACTGCACAGGATGCCTGGATTACCCTGACAAACTAAAAGTACTGCGGTATTACCATATCTCTTATACCACATCCAGAGGAGCGTTCTGTGAGGAAACTTCTGTCATCTGCAGTCTAGTTTAGTCAACACTCATCTCACGGCAGGGTTTTCCTGATGCCATCATCTTCTGGTGGCTGTTTTATATTCAGGTCAGGTGACTTCATGAGTCATGATGTGAATGGACAGCGCCACAGGACCAACTGCTGCAAGCCAATGCATAAACGGAAAATCAAACCCGCTCACATACGCAAAAGCAAGTTCTGTTCTCTGAGCATGTGGCCGACGAGTGATTTTGAACAGGACATCATGTGATGCTTGGAAGAGAGGTGGAGCATTTAACCCTTGTTCAAACGCTCATCATTCTACTGATCTGGAGCTGAATCCTCTGTGAGTGTTACGAATCAAAGTATCTAAAGCTCATTGATCTTTATAAATGGCGTTCACGAGTGTTCATAGATACTGTGTGACTAAATGCTTTCATTCAGACGATGTGAAGCACACACACGGCTCTCTCTCCAGCCATCAATCTTTGACCCTGCTGTAAGGCCACTATCATGACGTGGGAAACAGCGTTTTTCCATATTCTGAGCAGTGACTGTTGAAGTGGCCTATGCCACCGCTGCTCTGTAAACAGGATAATCTCATCAGTCCTCAGCAGCTCTCGTGATGCTCTTCAACATCTCACGACGTCTCAGACCGCTGCGCTCTACAATGACGCTATTCTCACATCAGCACTCGTGAATTCTGGGAACCGGAAACCATCGGCTCTTTCCAGTTTCAAAGTGCAATCATCTAAACGCTTCTCTGTCCACCGCAACTGCTGCGAGATGCTGGACGCTCTCAAATGTGTTGTTTCTGACAGCTAAAGCAAATCTGTGCTTGTATTTCATGCACTCACATACGTGATGTCCAGTTTTCTTCAGCTGTTTGTGAAACCGGAAATTTTACTGGCATATCTTTTGCTTTTTGTCAGCATACTCCTCTCAGGACGTCCCTAAATTAATAATCATACAGCATTTGCAGCAGGAATGAACAGACAACAACATTTGTTCAGTTTCATCTCGTGGGGTGGTAGTACAAACACAAGCTCAGCTCTTGGCTGCGAGAACAAATGATCAACACAGAAACACATGTAAATGCTGTATTATTACCTTTGGCATCTTGGCAAATCTCCCATTTCTCGTATCCTTGATGAGCGACACGTCTAACAGGTCGGTCTCCTGCAATCACAAATGAGATTTATGAGTATGAGAACAGCGTGTTTAAACTTGCGTCCACAGCACAATTATGAAAGACAATAATGTAATAAAACGAAATAAATATAATCATGACATATGATGGGAAACAGGTTGCTTCTTGCTCTTTTGAAATAAAAGATTTTGATGTTGTGTGTCTTAAAGTGACAGCGTACGGGTCAGAGGAAGGTCAAGGCCGTTGTCAGCCAATCATTACAGAGTAATGCCACGCTCACTTTATAACCACAGCTTAAATATCAGCAGGGATTAAAGGACCTTTAAAGATCCATTATTGATGTTGAGAACGAGAGATATGGAGAGACTGCTGGGAAAAGACGCCTCAAGAGAAACATCACCGGCTATTATAACATGTTGTGAGTCATTTGACATTGTGGATTGATCGAATTTCAATCCTGAATGTACAAACGTGCATCTGTGCATATCCAGCGATATTTCTTAACTTTGTTTACCAAGAATGAGAATTCCTCACAAACCTGTTTGTTTCTACAGTGGAAGACAAAATGAATGTTTCTGAATAGTCTTCACGCACCTCTGAACACTGACTTCAGACAGAGCAAATGTTGACAGAATGTAGCATTTCTTCAAATGTCTTTACTTTTAATACTCCTGTTAGCAGTTACCAATAGTGTTATCAGTGAGATCATGCATGTTTGGATCCAGAAGAAAATACTAAATGTGGACATCACGTTGTCTACTGCAGTCCACTGTACTGAACCACAACAAAGTTCAGTAGCTTTATCATATCAACATATGATACGATGATAACGCTTTCTACAGCTGACTAAGGTCAGGGTTCAGAACCTTTTGTTTGCGTCTCTGAGAAGTGTTTAAAACAGTGAGACAAACGTTTAAATAAACTGTTTCATAAAAGAGCCACACGCAAAGGTGCAAGTGACGCTCTCCAGGACACAATGACACGAGGCCAGTCCTGTCCTCCACACTGTCTTCTGTTCACAAAAGCTGAAATGGATACTGATGAAAACTGACATTTACAGGCTGTGGAAAATAGCTGATTTCTGTTCAACGTCAACATTTTGGAGGAGCTAATGACTGAAGTTGATGCGCACCGCTTCTAATCTGTTTTACCCGTCACTGGCTACGCTTACATGCACAATTTTTGGTTCAATCGGACTGAATTCATTCCGATTGATGAATCTGAATGTAGTGTTTACATGAACGCTAAATAAAGTGATCGGGTTGATGTGCGTGTTAATATGTCACAAGCTTCAAATCGGAATTGATTTTTTTTTACATGTAAACGTAGCCACTGTTTCTGCATCCAGAGCACAAAATGATCAAGCTAGACATCAGATGGATGACCTGCTGATTCATATAGCTAACTAAAATGGCAGAGCTGCTGAAATGTCCGGTTCCAGTCGGATCGCTGCTGTAGGGAAGCTCCTGTAGTTTGAATGCACAGCTTTATATCAGTCCACCAGGAAACAAAGTCCAAAGTTCAAGAGTCAACAGAGGGATTTGACAGCGTTCGGTGGGTTCTTTAACAGATAGTCATGAAGTGTATTCTTTGAGCCACGCTGAATTAATGTGATACCCTTGAGCAGAACCATATATTCCCTTCTGTTATGTCGATTTACCCAAATGTCACCTAAACATACGATTGTCATTAATATAGTCTCTTGTGACTATGCGGAGTCAAAAAAAAAATCTGGTTACACATTACAGAAAACCACATGTGCCTGTATGCAAATATATTTCCTAGCTTCTCATGAGTGCAATGGTGCAGTTTTATTGACCTGCCGAGAAGGAAATGAAAACAGAACAGTTTCTGTGAGTAATAAGAGGGTTTGTGATGTTAATGGTGCATTCTGTCTATACAGAGCAAAACATCAAGATGTAGGAGAGCAGCAGTTGCTGGCACTGAAAATTATCTGATTTTGTGTATTACTTAAATAATTGATAAAGGACAAGGGAAATGGTCGAGGGAGCTGTAAAGTTTGCATATGGTTGTGTAACATCTACCAACAAAACTAAACTGTCCTTGCATTGTTTTTAGAGGTACTGTAACCACATTTCCATTCTTATGAATACATAATGAGCAGCTGTAGAGTTAAATGTATTTGAACTCATGTGGCCCCACTGTGTATCTCCTGCAATGGGAGAGATGATTATTCACACACACACACACACACACACACACACACACACACTGGGGCGGTACGACTGGCAGCTTCACACAGCGCTGGGGCTTTTTAAACACACTTCAAAGCAGGACCTTTATGCTGAGGCTGGAAATGCTAACCTTTGACTGGAAACACCTCCCACTGCAAACAGCCAACACTACATTGATTGAGGGAGACCCTCCGCTTTAAACTCAAATGAATCAAAAGGAAGCTGATTATATCTGGGGAAGAGGACTTTTACCCCCAGTTTCACAGACAAGGCTTAAGCTAGTCCCAGGCTAAAATGCATGTTTGAGCTGTCTCAACTGAAAATATCTTGCTCTGACATATCTTAAAATATGTCAGTCTCATTGTTCTGTGTCAAGATGCACCTCTAATGTTTTCTTCTAAGGCATTTTTGTAAAAGTTGCTTAAATATCTTAATTTAACTAAGGCCTAGTCCTGGCTTAAGCTAAGCCCCGTTTGTGAAACCGGGCCTTTATGTCTTAAGCCAGAAGGTTTTTCATCACATGATGGGACAGATCTGTAGATGGTCTTCTTTAGGGTGGCAGTGAGTTATTGTGAAGGCCTGGAACTTTTACATTTGCATCGAAAACCAAATCACAGCATATGAGTGTAGTCAGACTTCTTACTATTCACATAAAGTTCTGACTGCATTGTAATATATTCTGACTACAAACCACCCAGTTTTAAATGTGATATTTGGGGGCAGTTAAATATAAAATCTTGGAACAGAGGAAACAGGCATTGTTAACCTATGGCACCTATAGAGGGATAGTCACTGGCACGCGAGCAATACCCAAACAGATGTATGTGTATAAAGTTCATCACATCTGTATATACACCTGAGTTGGAATATGGACTGACGTGACCAGAACAATCCTTCACTGTCAGGAAGAGAAAAGAACGACAGAATTTGTACAGTCAGCAGCAGACATGCTGTCAAAGCAACGTGTACGTCAGCAGCATCATTACCTGCTGTATCAAGGTCAGTCTCCATCTATTTAAAACTCTGCTCTCGTTACGCCAGCGCAACACTATCCTGTGCCGTCTGCCATGCTTCAGGTAACGTCAACCAAAACCACCAGTAAACCAGCCGATGTCTTTGTGGTAGCAGAGCTTTGGTAAGCACGGGGGAGACTCAACTGTGCCTCAGGATCTAAATTAGTCCTATACGGTATGACAAGCAGCCCTGTTAGCCACAGTTCAGCTTCAGAATAACCCTGTGAATCACAATATCATGTTCTCTCACTACATGTCCACAATACAGAGACTCTATCGGTGCACCCTTTGTTAAAACAATAAAGATTCAATTTGCATTGATTTCTGTGATAGTTGTTCCTTATGCCCTTCAGAAAAATCCTCCAGCTCCGGCACATTCTTAGTTTTTCTGCACGTTTGAGCTCTTCTCAACAGTGACTGTATGACGAGGAGATCCAGCTTTCACTAGAACAAGGGTCTCATACAACTATTACACACAATATGAAGGATTAACAGGATGATCTTTTGATATTAAATAAAAGAATAAGATCTTTTATCTGTTATATTTGTGTAGATCTTGGAGGGTTTATAATCTATGTATAAATATATGCTTGAAACAAACTACATGCAAACTGCCTTAAGGCTGTGTGAAGTGTTACCAAAGGAGATTTTAAAGGAAAATAAAACCTGAAAAAACATCCTCACTTTGCAGCATTTTTTCGAAAGTCTTAACAGTACCGTATTTTTCATGCAGATAGGTTGTTTGCAGTATCTTGGAGAAGCTGTCACAGTTCTCTGGAGTTAGAGACAAAGACACAGAAGCCAAACCTTGTGCTCTGAAGACGTTATTTCTGCAGATAGGTTTCTGATGCTTAAACTATTCTTGTGACATGCCATTGTTCGTTCTATTTGTTTCTACTTTAATGCTGGATGTAATGGCTGTTGTTATCAGTTTCTTGTTCTCTCCCTTCTCTCTCGAGGAACAATGACGCAGGGGGCCAGTATTTTAGGTATGACAGGCCCGTGTGTCAGCTCCGGGCCCCAAAGCACCTGCTTGCCGTTTAAATTTGATACCCTCTTATCGTTCTCCAAATTGAATTGACTGCTAACGAGAAAAAAAGACGTGTGACCTACATCTCTGACACACTTAAAAGAGAAAGCAGAAATGGAGCAAAAGAAGAGGATCAAGGGAAAAGGAAGGAACAACCAAAAACTCTCCTCCAGTCCTTCAACCATCACAGATCAGCTAAACTACCTCAAATCCTCCAGGGTTCAGATTGAGTCGTCACCGAAACACTAGTTACTGTAAAGTGTGAAAAACATCACCTTATCCTGGTTCCATACATGCAAAACCTCAAACAGGGACATGAAGCAATCTCCAGTGAGTTAAATCAAAGTCACATAAACGAAAATCAAAAGTGCTGTTTCTACAAAATCTATTCATCAAAAACCTTGTTATCAGATTTTGAAATGAGGATTAATTAAGACTGTGTGAATAAAGCGTCTCTCCCCAGCAGACTGGAGGCTGGTGTTCAGATCTTGGATTAACTTTAATACAAACCAGAGAACAGTGTGACGGTGAGGAGAAATTGGATTCTGCTACCTGGGCATTAAAAGACCTTTGAAGAATGGAAAGCTAGATTTAGACTGGCCTTTTAAAAAGATTATAACACAGCCAGGGATCAAAGGACTCGGTGTAACGATGTGTTACACTTTCAAAGTATTTTTTAAGTTAATAAGCATTTAAATGTAAAAATCTAGCAGAAGTGCTACTACTCACGAACCGTCTAAAAATCTACCTGTGTGTCGAGTTAAGAAATGTTGGAAATGTTGTGGAAAAAC